ATTCTGTCTTAGCAACATATATATATATATCAAATTATATATTATCATTATCAAATTACCAGCCTTTTATGAAGAATGCTCAAAATCTTTTGCAAAGTGCTCTGAGGTAAATAATTTAAATATACAGGATTTAAATGGAAAAGACTTGTCAAAAGTTATCTTATGGAACAACAAATTTATTTGTGTTGGTGACAAGTCTGTGTATTTTAGAAATCTCGCTGAGAAAGGGATCTTTCGAGTGGATGATTTAATCTCGAATAAACATGAACTTATAATCAAAAGCGAGTTGAGAGTCTTGAACCTTTCGCCGTTGGATGCCTTTAGGCTTGTCTCTTTAATAGACGCTCTACCAACTCAATGGCGTGAATCGTTGAAATCCTGCATCTCTACAGGTGACACACCATTCATTTTGCGTGATGAGATTAAGTTACGCTTAAAATGTCAAATTGTTTTACTTGAAACAAATACAAAAGTAGGCACGGATGGACAAACTTGAAGAAGATTGAAACGGATTGCAATTGAGGTTATGGAAAACCTGTTAGCCTAACAGTTTTTCAAAGGTCATTTTTGTTGTTTGTAATGTTTGATATAATGCTTGGGCGACCTATTTTGTTGGAAAAAAAGGTGTGATTTTGTCATTCTCAAGTTTCATAGCGAATAAGAGCGCGCAACTGGCATTACATATTAAATGATCAGGGCAAGCGTGACACTACAGCCCCTTCAAACACTAATTTCATCACGTTTTCTTTAGTGGGTATTTTGTGGTTCAATTTTATCCTTGGTTTAAATTTTATTTCCTTTGTTTTTGGGTATGGTAGTGTATGATAATGAGTTTTTTAACAAAGGAAAATAAACTTTAAACCAGCTGGAAGAAAATTGAACCACAACATGTACTTGTATCTACCTGGCATTCAACTGGTACATACTGTGAATCACAGGTTAATGAGGTCAAGTAACGCTATAAGATGAAGTAGTCGAAATAAATTGTAGTTCTGTAAACTTATCCCCCGGGAAGGTGTGGGTTTTTTTACTCACGTTGAAGAACTTGATCTTGTGAGTTGTGGATAATTGCCATTCTGGGAAAAAAAGAGAGAGAAAAAAATTTCTTCTGGATCTGAAACTATGCAGAATTTTACTTCAAAACTACTTCATATGAACTAAGTCTCGAGAGAAAACGTCCACTCGTATAGGCACGTATAATGTATTGGTGTTTCTTATCGAATTTTACTTCGATCCCAGTTCTGCCAGTTGCAATTAGAATTAACACGATTTCTTACTCAACAGAAGGTGACGGCTTTTTTTGTTAAAACATCCCAGGTTTCCGTTTTAAGTTTGTTTAATTTAGGATTTGTTTTTAAACAGGGGCACTCAACGAGGATATAGTTGAAAACCACTTAACATAGCATTGTTGAAAGTATTTTAGTATTCAAACGGTAGATATAGGCATATTTTTATCCCCTAAAAACTTTTCATCTGTTCGGATTTCCTAGCTGAAAATCTAGTGATCCGAAAATTATAGGGATAAAAACTTACCTTCTCGAAAATTTCAGCCAGGAAAAGGCTCCCGAAAATTCTAGGTGGCCTTTTTTAGGATCAAAATCCGTTAAAAATGAGTAATTATACCATTTTGTAGATGTTCGAAAATCCTAGGAGAGGCAGGCAAGCAAGAAATTTTACAACAAATGTTCCGAAAATTCTAGATCTCAAATCGTCTTCCGAACAGATATTTTCCCGAAACTTGCCGCTGGGTGCCCCTGTTTAAAGGATCTTTACAAGTCATGCTGCTGTAGTTTCATTGTTACCCCATTTCATCTTAGATTGGGCTTTTAATAGAAATGCAACCGTGATTGATGTACCCGAATTTAGACGATGAGAGAGATCGGAAAATGCAATATGCCTCTCCCGCGTAAATAGCACCGGAACGCAGCGGTATTTAAGGTCGTCTGAGAAGCGACGACCGGAAATACGTCTGTTTTCGCAGGCTTACACTTGGAGAACAGGTGCAAAGAAAAAACTGTCACTTTTCTCTCCTCATTTTCATTCAGACCCCTTCCTGCTCTCTTGATTTCAGTGTTAATTTTTACTTATACCTACCTGTGTTGCATCCACAGCCACAAAACCATGTTTAGAAAGCAAATCAAGCGACAGTGATTGATCCTTGGTGTGTCTGATTACAAACCAGTCAGCCAGACCGTCTTTTGGATTTTCCATGAAAGACCGCTGTAAATGCTGACCCTGATGCCTTTGGTAAGCTGCGTTTGGCGCATTTCGTTCTTCACACAGGCAATCCTTGTTTATTCTTTCAGTAAAGGCAAAAAACAGAGAAAGATAAGAAAGTCAAATTCGAGAAAGATGTTCATGTTTCTTAAATCAGTGACACAAGCGACTCTGTTGTTATCCTTTAATTAATTTTGTACTATCTGAACGCCAAGCTTTGTTTAAATAGAAGTACGTTGTCCACACTATGTAAAGTCCAACGCAAACGCACGCAACATTGTTT